GGCAGTGCATGGAGCACACCTGCTGAGTCCAACCATGCCTTGCCTTGTAGCGCCCCATCTGGGTTCCGTGTGGCTTCTCTCAGGGCTGAAGCGGCAGCTCCAAGGCTTAGAGGTCCAGGAGCGGCTCCACTGGGTTTTGCCTCAATTAGTCGATGAGCGGGGGAGCTGCAGCGGGGTTAGCTGTCAGCCCCAGGAGCTAACCCTGGTGCGGCTCTGCCTCTTAAATGTATTAAGAGCTGTGAATACTTTTAAAAGGCTGGTGCACAGCAAGGGGGAGGGGCCCAGTGCAAGCCAGGACAGCTGATTTCCAGCTTGTGCTGAGTCCCCCTCCCTCCTACTGCACTTCTGCCTATGAGGAACATAGGCCCTAACATGGAGGTGTAACGTGCATAGGTAAGGATATGAAGAGTGGAGCCGTGTGAACTGTGTGGTAGGGTGAGACCATGGACTTAAGAAGCATCGTCAATCATTGGGGAGGTCAGAAAACAGTGAGTTACTGTAGAAAAAATGTCGAACAGACTATTAATGAACTTAAAAAACAACAAATGATCTGGTAGCATTTTAAAGACTAATAAAACATGTAGATGGTATCATGAGCTTTCGTGGGCACAGCCCACTTCTTCAGATGACCTATTGATGGTTGGGGGGAATTTTAGAAATGTAGATGAAATATTGACAGGATTTGGCAACAGCTTAAATGTGAGAAAAATGAGAGAGGAAAATTAAAAAAATATGTTAAGAGTGAAAGAATGGGAAACAGGGAAGATGCTGGAACTTGCAAGAGAAATGTGATAAGGGGTATGGGATGGAGAGGAAATGAGGAGCTTAGCTTTTCCATTGTCCTGGCAGGTAAATTTACTGGATACACACCTGGAGTAGCCATCTAAATGCTCAGGGAAAGGTCATGGGTGAGGAGAGAGATGTTAGAGCCATCCACATATAGGTAGTAACTGAAGCCACAGCAAAAATCACTGCAAGATAACATGAAGAGAGCCAGAGCCTGAGTCCTAGGAAATACTGGCAAGAGGAATGAGAGGATAAGTTTATAATCATCACCATAAGACTACTGCATGAGAGAATATCCATTTTCTGTATCTTTTGATCAAGAAGGCAAAGATGCAGGCTATACAGTAAAGAAGTTGAGATGCCAGCTATGGCTATTTCCTGTGCCATATTTGCCACAGTACGTAATCACTACAGTCCACTAAATCAGTAATAATGCTACCATCAATCCAGCACTTAGTCTTTTATTTGGTGTGTAACCTATTTTCTTTTGATATGCAAACCATGTGAAATGTTTTTCTGTTTGCCAAAGTTAGAAAAGCAGCTATTTAAATCTTCAAAGGTAACACCTGACATAGTAATGCTGTAAAGAAAAACTGTACTACTGGAGAAATGAAAATACTAAGGGATTTTACTTCACTGGTGAAACCTAATGTCTGTCCATGAGAGTGGGCAAATATAAATAACTCCAAAATACTTATATCAGTGATAGTTGTTGAATCAGCAGTAGACTTGTTACACGAAAGCGTGAACAGCACCTAGGGATTGGTCAGACTCTTTTCCTCTCTCCCAGCTTTTCACACACTGCCCACCCTTCATTTATTCAGATTCTTGTGGTGCAAAGTCTGGAATTTTGTATCTGACAGCTGATGTCACATAGAGATGTCCTCTTCTGTGACCAATTAAACAAAAATTTCCGTTGAACAAAAAATGTGTATTGCCCTATTATATACCCTCCTAGGAACTCTGTGTTACGGTCCCTGAAGATATTGACCAGCTTTATGGTTTTATCTCTTTTTACTTATGACCAGCATTAATCCTGTGATTGATCTCAGTTAATTACATTTGTTAGTCATATATGAATTCTAAGTAATTTACATAATTGAAAGTTTCCCCTTTTCAAGTTCAAGGATCTTGCACTTGAACATTGAACACTGCATTGAACATTGTAACTGCACAGTGTATTCTGATTGAAAGCAAAATTATAAAAAGAAAAGTGAATGAATCCAAATGTTTAGAATCTCTTGGGAGGGCAGTGAAGAAATTTGCCATTCTTATGCTCTGATAGACTGACCGTGAAAACTACAGGATCTCAAGTGAATGTTCAGACGTAAAACGCACAGCCACTCTGGCATCTGCAGTGTGATATTGCATGAAAAGTAAGAGATGAGACATTTGTTTTTTTAAATACACCATTTATGTAGATTGATATACCCTACTGTTGTTTGATGTCAGATGCTGGCTGCATGTGTATATTCTCTGGGTGTGCAGTCCTAGTTCTTCACAGAGAGTTGGAACAGCAGTTCTCAGTCGAACTACCCAGTAACCACAGACTTGATTCCTAGTGAAGGCACATGGTCATGTTTATTGTCAACAAAGGATGGTCATAATGTCCAGGATCAATGGTTATATGTACACTAACCTATGTATTTCCAGTTAATGGTGCGACTTTTCATTATTGCCTAAGCCAGCCAAAGACAGTTCCTCTGAGACTTCATTTTATACCCTGATATAAACAAGTTACACATTGCCGCTCTGACTGGGTTACTGCTCCTGGTTTAGGTTGTTATCCATTACCTTGTACATGTTAGTTCGAGCAAAACATCCCTATCCATTACGGTGTCATTCTGACCTTATCTTTAGCAGGGATCATTATGTTCTTGTTATCCTGGTGGAGGGGGTGGGAGCAGCTGTTTTTATGGGA